AGGGGAGCAGGCAGGTTCGAGGAGCCCGTCGCGAGGATCCGTAGGGAGGCGACGACGAGATCAGAGGTGGAGTGGAGGATGCAGGAGCTGCGACCCTCGCCTGTGGGACCTGATGGCAGGCCGATCCGCCTGGAGATTGGAAATGCGTCGGACTTCATCCCCGCATTTGTGTGGTTCATGTAGGGGCAGGGTATACCGAGAAATGATTGGATACAGACGCTACCACTCTGGACTAGGAAGGCGGAAAGGCCATTGGCTAGCCAGGTCATAGACATGGCCCGGGACTGGGAAAGCTGCAGGGCGCATCTGAGAGAGGCCTTTCGACGGCCGGAGCCCCCTCAGCCCAGAGTTGAGAGGTGTCAGAGGAGTCAGAGGCAGAGGGACCCTGAGCCCAGGGAGGCGCGACCATCTCGAGGAGGACGGAAGGCCCTAGCTAGGAAAGAACCGGAGCCGGAACCAGAGGTTGAGGAGCGAGGGGCGTACCCTGAGTGTGGGTTGGGACCAGTGGAGTTCCACCGATTAACCGCGGGAGGATTGAGGAGGAGGTCGCGAGCGCATGCACAGGAGGAGCCATCAGCATCTGAGGGGCCCTTGAGGGAGTTGGAGACGCATTTGGATATCTCTAGGTGGAGGGCGTCGCCCCGGGGTGAGGAGTCTGGAGAGCAGGCAGAGGAGGCGCCATAGGAGGAGGTGCCACGAGAGGAGGTGCCACGAGAGGAGGTGCCACAGGAGGAGGTGCCACGAGAGGAGGTGCCACGAGAGGAGGTGCCACGGGAGGAGGTCCAGGATACTCAGCGAGAGATAGGGCCGGGCGATGAGGGGAGACGTGCAGGGAAGGAAGTGATAGAGGTTGCAGAGGACACGCCCCCTCAGTCGCCAGCAGTAGGCTTGAGGCTTGGAGATGCATATGGGGGCACGTGCCAGACAGGAGAGGAGTTGCAGAGAGAAGAGGCCCCATTGCCTTCGTCGGGAAAGGCTCCTTCACCAGAGAGCAGGGCAGAAAGGAGAAGAGAGAGGGCAGCTGTAAGGAGAGAGGCCTTGACTCTGATTGACAGGCACCTAGCAGCTCATGCCCTAGAGCACCCAGACCTGCAGGAACCAACACCTGCAGAGCCACGCCAGGAGCCGTGCCAGCCCGAGAAGGAGATGGAGGCAAAGATCCCAAAGAGGGTTGACCTCCGCACGAGGGAAAGAGCGCCAGCTGGAGAGACAGCAGAGGAAAAGAGGGCGAGAAGAACCAGGAGGATAGACGAGATATGGCAAGAGAGACAGAGGTTGGAGGCAGCGGGGGAGCTTCCGGAGCAGCAGCAGGAGAGACAGAAATCGGAGGCAGCAGGATCACTCCCAGGTCAGCCACCCAGCGCGCCAGCTAGGGCCCCGGAGATCCCTGTGATGTGGAGGGACTTTTGGGAGTAGAGAGGAGAGGAGCTTCCTTCGCCAGTCAGAGTCGGGTTTGGGGTGGCAAGGAAGGCATAAGAAAGGTTGGATCGCAAGATTAAGTTCCTGGCCAAGACAACTTTTGACCGGCACTTGTTGTTGGAGAGCGATCTGGCAGGGAAGAAGATGAAGGAAGCAGGCCATGGAGTACGCTTGGAGGCTATGGAGGTGGAAATCCAAGAGCTCAGGGCATTGGTGGCCAGTCAGGCAGCTATCATCGAGAGCCTGAGGCAGCAATCTCAGGGAGAANGGAGCTTCCGGAGCAGCAGCAGGAGAGGCAGAGATCGGAGGCAGCAGGAGCACTCCCAGGTCAGCCACCCAGCGCGCCAGCTAGGGCCCCGGAGATCCCTGAGATRTGGAGGGACTYTTGGRAGCAGAGAGGAGAGGAGCTTCCTTCGCCAGTCAGAGTCGGGTTTGGGGTGGCAAGGAAGGCAGAAGAAAGGTTGGATYGCAAGATCAAGTTCCTGRCCAAGACAACTTTTKAMYGACACTTGTTGTTGGAGAGCGATCTGGCAGGGAAGAAGATGAAGGAAGCCGGCCATGGAGTACGCCTGGAGGCTATGGAGGTGGAAATCCAAGAGCTCAGGGCATTGGTGGCCAGTCAGGCAGCTATCATCGAGAGCCTGAGGCAGCAATCTCAGGGAGAAGTGRACAAGCCAGAGAGCAGCCAGCAGGGGGAACAGAGGCAGGCAGGGCATGAGTCARCAGAGCARCC